GTGTGTCTGACTTAATGCCCAAGACAATTTGATACATTTTCAAAAGTCAGGTTTGATCCTTCGTTTAACATTTTCTCTTTTGGGCAACACAGCGATAGGATAGTTTCTACACATTTTGTTGTTTTGAACAGTTGGGCCAATATTAAAGAAAATCCTTCAAGGGATAGAGCAGACTCAAAATTGTTTAACATTTAACTTTTGAGTGTGACCTTGACTTTAAGGCAGAAAACCGACTGTGTGGCTTCTTCCCGTCACCTTGTTGATATAAATATTTGAGCAAAGACTGAAGAAAATACTCCAAGGGGTATAGGATTTATAGACGGGACATTGTATAGACAGTCAACCGACAAGCCAAACTGATTCCAATATAGAACCCCCGCCCCCCTTATCCTACATTATGGTGTTGGGTATAATATAATTAAAGCGTGAAGAAAGGATAGGGAGGAGCACTATATGAAATTGAAACTGCTGTACCTCAACAAGTTAAAGTTGGTAATTGCGACTGCCTCTAAATCTGCCATATTAAACTGAACCGTGAGGGATTTACCTGTGAAGGATTATAGTTACTTTTAATACTATACTTGGAACTAATGATCTATGGACTTATTGATAAACTGTTACCTCTTGAAACAATGGTTCATCTTCATTGCACTTTGCCTGAAATATTAACAAATACTAGTAAATTGATATAAAAAAATTAAAATGCATACTTGTAAGTATTCTTTAGATGAGGTGGGATATATCTTAGCGTCCAAACTAAAAAATGTTAGTTATTTTACAAGGTGTCACCTAAACTTACAAAATCAAATCAACTTTTGAAAACAACAATAGATAGATACATATTGTACTTGAAAGCATAACAGGTCGCAATCTCCATATACTGACTTCATGCACAGTCACTGTATATACATGTTTACAATCAGAGTAAAATCTTAACAAGAGCACCGCTAGGCGGAGCATTATATACCCAAAAGTGTTGTTTTTTTTTGTAAGGATGAAGCATTTGTAAGACATTACATAAATAAAAATTAAGTATTACCTCCTTCAAATAGCAATCCTCCTATAAAGTTTGAATAGTGTAGGCCAAATGGTACTTAAGTGATTATCTGAAAACTGTTAACAGTTTTAAGGTAATAGTGACCTTGACCTTTGACCTTATGACCCCAAAATCAATAGGGGTCTTCGACCCAATATTGACAATCATCCTTTGAAGTTTGAAAAGTGTGGGCCAAATGGAACTTGAGTTATATTCCGGAAATTGTTTTCAGTTTTAAGTAATAGTGACCTTGACCTTTGACCTTGTGACCCTAAAATCAATAGGGGTCTTTGACCCAATGTGGACAATCATCCTATGAAGTTTGAATATTGTGGGCCAAATGGAACTTGAGTTATGTTCCGGAACTGTTTTCAGTTTCAAGGTAATAGTGACCTTGACCTTTGACCTTGTGACACCAAAATCAATAGGGGTATTTTACCCAATGTGGACTATCATCCTATGAAGTTTGAATATTTTGGGCAACATTGAACTTAAGTTATACTCCGAAACCTGTTTTCAGTTTTAAAGTTATAATGACTTTGACCTTTGAACTTGTGAACCCAAAATCAATAGGAGTCTTCTACCCAATATGAAAAAGCATCCTATGAAGTTTGAACACTGTGGGCGAAATGGAACCTAAGTTAAGCTACGGAAACTGTTTTCAGTTTTAAGGTGATAGTGACCTTGACCTTTGACCTTGTGACCCCTAAATCAATAGGGGTCTTCTACTCAATATGGACAATCATCCTATGAAGTTTGAACACTGTGGGCCAAACGGAACTTAAGTTATGCTCCGGAAACTGTTTTCAGTTTTAAGGTGATAGTGACATTGACCTTCGATCTTGTGACCCCAAAATCAATAGGGGTCTTCTACTAAATATGGACAATCATCCTATGAAGTTTGAATATTGTGGGCCAAACGGAACTTAAGTTATGCTCCGGAAACCAAATTGCTAACGGACAGACGGACATACAGACGGACGGACAAATGCCAGGGGGTATAACATAATATGCCCGAAATTTTTTCGGGCATATAAAAAGAGTACAAAGTCTAACATGTGACTGTGCAAAAGTTTTCCGTTAAGAAAACCAATGCCACCGAGGCACTAACGGCCTTGAAATTTACTTGAAATCATTGCTTCTGCAAAAAAAATACAAAAAAGCACCAGAATGAATGTGAAAGAAATATACATGTTACTAAGAATTTGATATTTAATTACCTTTTTCTTACATTTCTGAAAAAGCACATGGCCAAAATGGCAGATATCATGAAAAAGTTTTGTCCTGTGATGACAGAAATTTCCCATGTAATACCTGACACGTTTTGATTGTCCTGTCTGAAAATACAAAACTAAAAATACAGAACAATGGTTTTTCCCAAAACAATGGGTGCATTTCAGGTGGTCACGTTTTCATTGAATGACTTTCCCGTGATCGTCGCTCTCCCTTGTATGTAATTTTATTTATATTATCTTAATATACGCTAAACGAGGCACATGTACCATATCAAGTGTACCAAGAAATGGAAGATATATATAAATATATATTCTAATTCGATACAAATTCTTTATTATCTCTAAATAGGGAGAATAAACTTTATTTTTTATTTTAATTCAACACTGTGAATGTCATATGAAAATGTTCCATCTTTAACAGTTAAGCAAAAAAAAAGATTTACCGCCTTATATGTTTTTCTTTTATACGGTTGACCGTGTAATTTTACTTTTACTGACCAACGCCGTTTTTCTCTGTTGCATGCCTGTGCATAAAAATTTAAAGGTAGAAGTATCAATATTTAAATTGAATTGAAATTTATTAGCTCAATATTGCAAATGTGTGGGTCACTTTTGTTGATTATGCAAAAGGAAATAAACAAGTGGGGACCTTAAAGATTGTCAAAAAAGGAAAACTCATTAAAACTTGTTCAAGGACTGCATGCGGTTGTAAAAAATATATCGTACACGTTCTAAGCATAGTTATATATTTACACATAAAAATGACTTTGTTTACCATATTCATTTACATGTAGTTCATATGGCGGTGATCATGGACCTGCAATGTGCAATCAACGTGCAATATTTCAGAAAAGATCAAGCAAAGACGATTCTTTAGTCGGAATTTCTCGGCCCCTTCTAACAAACTTAGGATAAGGACTGACGACCGATTATTACTGGTAATCGGCGAGTTGTTCCGAGTGGCTTTTCTTAAGCAGCCAGTTGCAAGGTGGTTAAATTGTATCGGACAATCGAACAAATATTGGCTCTAAATACCCTGCCGGGACTTTAAGCCATTTCAAGCTGCATCGTTGAGTTGCAAGTAATTTGGCTTCAGCGAATTAATTTCCTCATTATTACTGCTCCATACATCACTATAGGTTATTTAATATTTGTCTAGAAAAATTAAGGTGCAAAATGCCTTCGATTGAAATTTGACCTTCCTTTATAAATTACCTGACAATTTTCTAGAAGCTCCATATCGCCTTTTTTCAAGTCTTTACGACGTTTAATAACGATAAAGTTTGGATACCCCTCTAAATCATCCTGTGTTAAGAACAAAAATATATCAGTTTTGATTATATACTGGTAAATGATATAAATGTAAAGGTGAATCAAATCCTGAACAGATTTTCCATGCAGCAGATTATCCAAGATGGCAGAAACTTTAGCAATGCCAGGCTGTATGTATAAGAAAACTAACAAAGCAAACGCATTTATTATAAAGGAATTCCAATTTATCTTGCATGAATGTGTGTTCTTGATGAGGTACGTAGAGAGACAGATTCACACCATAGCCGGCTGAGTGTGTGGATAGCATACAAAATGCTTATTTAAACACCTGAACACACTAGAAAAAACACTCACCAACAAATATTATATATAGACAAGAAGTGCTATGGTTTTTCACAAATGAATCGGTTTTCAGAAGAAAGCAAATTGCCTTTATATAGTCTTATGTATATACCCGTCTGAAAACCAACCGAAACCGCTATCCCGTGCCAGGAAGAAACATCAAGTAAAATTGCACATTTTTGACAGGTCGACAACAAACGTGCAATCGCAAATTCTAGTGTGTTCAGAAGTTCAAACAAGCCTTGCATAATTATGTTATCCAAACATTGTGTCGCCTCCCTATGATTCACATCTTAATTTACCCATTTGCTTTCTTCGATGTATCTTCTGCTACACGCCACACATATCGAGGGGTGAAAGCGAAAAGGTTCTAACTCACTTTTTTTACAAAATTCACTTTTTTATATATTTGTAACATAAACACCCAGATACATCTTATGTCAAAATATATAAGATTTAGTTTACTTATAACAGGGTGAAATGAAAAGTTGTCCAAAGGTTCTAAGTGAAAATAACTTTTTTTTTAAAAAGCGAAAAGGTTCTAACTGCAAACGGCAGTTAGAACCTTTTCGCTTTCATTGAGTATAAAATCTACAAGATTAAATAAAAACAACTCAAACTGCATTAAAATAAATGAGATCTAAATAGTTTTGGAAGCTTAACCTTTTAATGTATATTATTAAATAATATCACATAAGAAATTCATTAGTTTCAGAGTAGATGCTTTGATTTTGAAAGAAAACTTAATTACTTAGAAATGTTTCGCAGTTAACTCCACTCATGAAATTATCAATTTTTTAAAAGGGAAACAGTTCTAAGTGTACAAGGCCAGTAATGATCACACTTAATGTTAAATGGTTTTAAGTGCAAAATTGGGGGGTTTTTAAGAAGGAAAAGGGGATAGTGAGGTTTAAAAATTGAAATTTACAAAGGAGAGGGGTTTTAAAAAATCAAAAAGAGGAATTAATTTGGGGTTCAAAAGGGGGGTTTGTAGACCCCGGGATGATTTAAAAGGGGTATTGTAACCTGTAAAGTGGGTGATAAAAAAAAGGGGCATTGCCGGGAGAAAAAATTAAATTTTTTAAAATTTTGGGAAGGGGGGTTTGGGGGACCTTGTTGGGGGAAGAGGGTTCAAGGGGGGGGTGTGTGAAAAAGGGGAAATAAAGGGGGGGTTTTTTAAGAGTGGTGGTGGGGGGGGAATGGAGAGGGTGGGGGGGAGTTTAAGTGCCTTTTTTTTTTTAAAACCCCCCTTTTAAACGCCGGGGCAAAGTAATTCAGAAATCACATTTTTTTTAAAAAAAAAAAACAAAACCCCCCAAAAAAGGAACCACCCCCTTTTTGGCTTTTTCAGGGTTTCGGGGGGGTAGTGGGACCCCCCCCTTGGGGGAAGGGGGGGGCCCGGCATTTTTTGGGTTTTTGGGGAGGGGGTGAGGGAAGGGGGGGAATTGTGGTTGGGGGGGGTGGTGGGGAAATTTAAGGTTTGGGAAAAATGGGTGGGGGGGGGGTTTGGGGGGGAAAAGGTGTTTTTTTGAAAGGAGTTTGGGGGTTTTTGGGGTAATTTGTTTGAGAAAAAAAGGGGGGAAAAAGGGTTATCCTTAAAGGGGGGCAAAAATTTTTGGGCCAAAGGGGTTTGGGTTTTATGGGGGGGGGGGGGGGGTTTTTTTTGGGTCCCGGTGGCCCGAAAAAAGGGGGCCCGTGGGTGGGCTTTTTGCCAGTAAAAAAAAGGGGGGGTTTTGGGGTGTTTTTAAACAATGTAAATGAAAGAATAGGTGGGTGGCATTGAAAAGGGGGCCCTTTGGGCTTGGCCGGGAGCATACCCTTTTTTTAATTTTTGTGCTACATGAGGGTGTCTCATTTGTTTGATATAAATTTGAAAAAATGTGCAAAGTCATATTTGTAATGCCAATTTTTTAAAATAATATTTCAGTTTCAAAAATTTTGGGACTTTTGTGTGAAACCGTTTATTGCAAACAAAATTCTTGGGCCTTTGAATGAGTTTTCAGACAAGTCCAAAAAAGTTTTTTAGAATTATTGTTCACTATTATATGATCTAAAAACGCTGTTAATATTTTTCATTGGGTTCAAACAGTGGTAATCAGAACAAATTATTAAAATCATATTCACTGGATGAAGTATATATTCCCTGGCTGAATTGGATTTTCCCTATCAAATTGAATCAGACTCATATTCTTAAATAACTGTACAGCATGGGGGTGCAGATGAGTTGCGGTTCATTTTAGGCATTTTTTTAATGAACAGCGTTAAAAATGTCATTTTTGCGCATTTATTAAATGGAACTAGTGCTAGGGATGCCTCATTTAGCGCCGCTTATAATATTAAAGTTGTTTTAAAAATAAATGCATTACATATTGTAAGAAAATTAGATGAAGATGAAAATGACATGAATTTCCTGAATAAATATCTTATTGAAGGTAACCATTTTAGATAGGAAAGAATATGAATGGAACTGTTTAAAATTTACAGAAAATGTAAGAAAACAAGGCTGTCAAGGAGCACTGCGAAGCTCGACTAATCAATACTGGACGCGTGAAGGAAGACGAAAATATGAAAGAAAAATCAATTATGATATAAATAATATTTCTGTATCAGTATAAGCAAAGCAGTAAATGTTCTAAATTTTTGTACAACATAATGATCTTGTCAATAAATGTTACTTAAATGGAAAAGACAGCAATTTTGAAATCTGAAGTCAATCCCTTCAAAAACAAAAAATGATAAGAGCAAAAAGAATTTAAAGTTTTTAAAGAAAAATTATAAGTTCAAAGTGGAAATAACTCTTGAAAAAAAAAGCTAGAGTTATGAACCTGTCATGCATGAGTAAGTATTGACAAAAGAACAATTATTTATCTTAAGTCTAGAGTAGTACCATTTATAACAACAAAAGAAATTACTAAAAAAAAAAAATTTATAAGGGAATTTCAAAATTAAAAATGGGGTAATTCTGGAATACAGGAGCTTGCGTTTTTTAAGTCTTTCATATGACACAGAAGTTATGTTGAAAGAAAATAATAATTTGTTAACATAAAATTAAAAATTTCAAGGGGAATAATTTGGAAATAGTAATGCTAGGTTATGTACATGTCACACAACATGTGTGTATGTTAAGAAATAATATCGGCCTTTAAGCGGTGTTTATTGGGCTATTTAACACAGGGTTTGGAGTTTTGATGCATAGGAATTGACCACGAAGGCCGTAGGAACATATATTTAAAGTTTCTGTGTTTGATACATTTTTTTGTACCTTAAGTATATTAACTGCAGCCAAACCTTTAATCTGAAATCTGACGCGGATGGCCAGGGGCGAGTAGGACAGCTCTCAAATATACTTTGTATAGTTCAACTAAAAATGATTATCAAAATTAATTGGCATTTGTTTTTTTTTTTAAAACAGGTGTAAATTAATGTCCATAATGTTCTTTAAAAGATTTGTACAATTACCAATTATGACCTTTATTTATGTTTCTAATTTAAACAATGTCAAAACTTAAATTTCTAATCTTGAAAATGGATAAGAGATGTCTCGCACCTAAAAATATGAAATCAAAAAAAAAAGTAAATGCAAAACAGTCCTATCTCTGGAAATTTAAATACTCCCATCTCTTACTGAATAACTAGAAATCGACAAAAATGTTGCTCAATCTTAAATTAAAATAAGAAAAAAACATGCTTTTGTTCTATCAAAATGTCACTTGGAAACCTTTTCGCTTTGAACAAAAAATTCAAAATATAAGAAATTTTAAGTGCGAAACAGTTCTAAGTTACATTTGATTAAATATCATGTTTGTCAAGTCTTTCCAAGAATTTTTATTATCATTGACATGTTTCTTAAACATTTCTATGTGTAAAATCAAAGTCTAGTGGATTTTTGCTATTTTACAAACATTTGAGACAGTTTTTTTTGCTTCTCCTGTAAAATTTTGGAAAATGCACTTAGAATCTTTTCGCTTTCACCCCTCGATATCTTCCTCGAGTTTAAAATATATTTGAATTTCACTTTTAAACCGTTAAAATTAAGAGTCTCAAAAAACTTGTATTTTCTGCCTATAATGCAAGTAAAATACTTTATTTTAATATGTTACAACAATCACGATATGAAATAAAGTAATGTTCTAGTTCACAACACCAGAATAAGAACGATAAAAAGACAACCTGTCAATTATTAAGAACATTTCACTGATACTAGTATCCAATGTGACCGAATACACAAAGGGTAAGAAAAATCCGTCTGAAAATCACACATTTTTCGTGACTTCAATAATGTTTTCAAGCAGTAAAAATGACACTTACCTCGAATTTCATGCCCCAAGCTTGACTTCGGCAGATACGCTTCAACTCTTCGAGGAAGTTATCCAACTTTTCTTTCGACTCCACTACGTTTTTCATTAAAATAAAACATTTACAATAAGTTGTATCAGATTTAATCTAAAATACTTACCATAAGGTTTCATTTCATTTTTTTTTTTTGTGTGTAAAAAAGTAAGTTATTAAATCTATAAATAATTTGCTGCAATATTCCTTCAAATGTTAACATTGTATTCATCATAGTAAGAAGCACCAAGATTTGAAATACAAATTAAATTGAGATAAACAGACTCAGTAACTCTTTACCTTAACAATATCTTTATAAAATATTTTATTACTTTGTATTTACTAGCAAAAAAAGAGCAAGATAAAAACTAATTGTAATTGTTTCTATTCCAAATAACCCCATTTTAAGTGATATTGTTAGCACCATAAAAAGTTGTTATTTACTTTGGTTTAAATTGATCAGAGGTGTGAAAAAAAAGATTGTTGTGTTTTAAATGAAATTGAATTACAGTTGACTGGTTACTTAACAATAAGATATAACATGAATATGGTATGTTAAAAAGTATGTTGAATCATAAAACATATAAAAATGTAATGGTAACTTTAAAGAACATAACATTGTTTTCCTTTAAAAATTGAAACTATACATATAATGGTTTTCTTTGACACTGTGCATTTATTCAAACTTTGATGAATACATAAAAGTAATGGTACTGATACTTAATTACTCTCCCCCCCACCCCCCAGAAAAGAAAGAAAAGTACTGGTACTGCAGTACCAAGCTAAAATCTAGTACTGGTAATGGTACTGCATACTTGGCAAGTACTGTTACTGGTACTTAATTAATACACCCTTAGTACTGTTGCAGTTCTGGTGAGCATAGTAGGATATATTCCATGAATACACGACCGTTACTGGCAGTGGAAAATTCGACTGAGGCGCAGGAGGGTATTATGGGTAGAGCACATCAACGTGCATATTTCTGTGAAAAATGGCAGATAAAAATATTCTTACTGCACGACAGAGATGAACAGGTGAGTGTTATTTTTGTTATTAATTGTTTTGTATTAAATAAATTTTATAACAGCATGGTTTTGGACACTAGGAAAAGTAGAAGACTGAACAAAGTTGAAAGAAGTAATGAGACAAATTTTAATTTGTCTGAACTTTAAGCCCCTGCTTTCAAATATACCACGAACTGTGGATACTTAGTTTACATAGTATTGTCTAGTTCAATACTGTTAAAGACTTCTCCTAAGTAATTTCCAGAGCCTGTGAATTTTGCATGTAAAAAACACCCCCCCCCCCCCCCCGGTCTCCTGTCCCCTTCCCCTATGTGGGCCCCTTAATTTATTTGAATTCATAATCAGTTACAAATTATTTATCATTTAATGATTAACCTGTCCGTGCTCTTTGTCCTGTCCTGTTTTTGTTTGGGGTCCGTCTGGGCTCCTTGCCATTAGTTCTTGTTGCTGGGTCATATGGGGGTTGCGTTCATTGAACGCCGCCTTTCCTTGTTGATCTTGTTTATCATATTTTGTGGATCTTTATGCCCTTTGGCAAAGCCGAAAATCAAAATAGACGCAGCGTCAGTGTCATTTAGTTTAGATGGGCTTTTAGGCGAAATGCATTTAAAAATCTGGGCAAGAATTATCTTTTGGAAGCATTTAAAACAACAAAAATACACGAAATTGCATATTCTGTTTAATTTAGTCTGTACACGAGGGATAAAAAAGAGCAACATTCTGCATGCTTGAGCGGTACTCAATTCTCAACACTTGATGTGTTGCAATCAATTATCCCGAAGGGCCAGAAAAAAATATAACAACACTCAAGTGTTTTTAAGTATTCTTTTGTGAAAGTTAAGAGTTTTAGATATTTGGCTAGTAACTTTGCTGGTGGACAAACCACAACAGTCATAGAAGTCATGGCCCAGGCACTTAGTTTACATAGAACCCTAAATAGTGAAATACATTTTTTAAGTCACCTTGTGAAAAGAGTTTAGATATTTGTCATGAAGCGTATCGTAGCAGATATAAATTTATGCTTGAGTAAAAAAGACAACCCCAATGTGATCTCATTGGTCATTTCGAATGAATATCAAAATTCTGGCTTTTCTAGCAATGTATCCGAGTTGAGCCATTATGGGGTTTTCTTTAAAGGTTTTAGTGTAAACAAATAATTGAGTGAAAGAATAATTCATACTCTTTTGTGTTTAAATAAATGTTTTAAGAGAATATGGACCGACTACTGTTTTCATCAATTTCAATTCTTTGTTATTAAAAAAAAGAATAATTATTTAAACTAAAATTCATATGGATCTAGAGAGTTTGGGGATAACTTTCCAAAGATACGCAGCAAGAAAGGAAATTATAGCGTCCACGATTCGCAAAGCTAGCTATCTCTATGTTCAGTATAATAAATCATTCAATATTGTATAAAAGTATGTGATTATAAGAAAAAGGTAGTGGACAAACCGAAAATTATCCTGTTAAAAATTTGCATTTTATGCCCCCCTCCGAAGAAGAGGGAGTATATTGTTTTGCTTATGTCGGTCTGTCAGCCCGTCGGTCTGTTTGTCTGTCGGTAGACCACATGATTTCCGCTGATTATCTTGAAAAAATATTTATCACAATTAAAGTCTTCATTATTTTTCTTTTTTCATAATTGAACACTTCCTTGTACCCATTTATGGCAATTATCTCTAACAAAATTACCAATAATATGAGTCAAATACGGTGGCACAAAGGTGACATGTGTGTATTTTTATTTATCTCGTGGCCACGAGATACTATGTCGTGGCCACGAGTTACTAAGTCGTGGCCACGAGATAGATATAATCGTGCCCGAGATAGCTACCGTCCCCGCATAGTATCTAGGGGCCACGTTTTTTATCTCCCCCACGCATAGTTCTCGGACCCGATTTAGCATTCGGGGGCCAAACTTAGAAACCTCGGTCCACGCATAGTATCTCGTGCGCACGAGATAAATAAAAAAACAAACATGTCACATTTGTTCCACCTTAGACAAGGGCTAGAAAGGGGGCCATGTGTTGTTCGACATTTCTTGTTAATCATTGTCATAGAATCAGCTGACTTTGGCACCAATACATTCAATTCAATCATGAAATAATAAGAATTTTCATTTCCCTTAGTTATTCTTTTAGCTATGCAAAGCAGTTTTCTGATTTTCAAAATTGAACAATTATCAGACAGTTCATGAGCAAAAAAGATAACTGTTAGTATTGATGTAGTCGATAATCAAATACCCCTGTTTCATTGTAATTAGATATGATTTGTCCATGATACACTGTATTTTGAGACAATTCTTCAAGACCTATCACAAAACTTACTTCAGCATTAATGTACATAATTTCAATCATATTTTTATTGTGAGTTTTAAGTGATAACGGTCTAATTTTTATGTAATCTCGTCTTTAAAATTTGTGTTACTTTTGTCTTATGACAAAATTTGTATTGTATTTGTATTGAAAAATATACATTAATGTACTAGCTAAAACCAAAATGAAAATATCTGTCTTCGTTATTTCTTGTTCCTGTCTTCTATAACAATAAAACATTACAGAGTGCTCCTATCAGCGGTATGGTGACAAGCAATCTTATTTATTTATTTGGTGAGTTCCTACTCACAGTAAACATGAAGCATGAGCGAGCCATTTTTGAGAACCACTGATTTCCCTGAATCTACAAGGATATTAGTAACTAATAATCAGTAGAGAAAAGCTGTCAGTAAGTATTTGAAGATCTGAGAACAAAAAAAAAGCACATTTTGATACTTGTAAGCAAAAGGAAACTTCAAAGACTGAATTTTGTAAGTATATATGTTGGAACATATCATTTTACCTTGATCGTTACTTAAAAATGCATCAGCAACTGTCATTTCATGCCAGCCAATATACCCTTCTAGCAACTTTTCGGTTTCTTCGGCATTATTCAGCATCTCCTCTAGGTTGTCAATACAGGCCTGATCATCTTCCTTTCTTTGATCAATCTTACTCCGTTTACCTGAGGAACTACTTCCTTTAGAATGTCTTCCATTACCAGAGTCATCATCATTATCTTCATCAGAAAATGAATGCTTTCTTTTCTTTGTTGTTTTATTTCCTTTTATTTCTGTAGACATGCTTTGTAAATCCCTGACCGAATGACTTCTTCTCCTTAATTCTCTCATATGTTCAAACTGATGTCTGACTTGTTGTTTGTATTTTACAAACAATCGTGAACAACTTAGTATCTATTTTTTGAATTTGTATTCGTGCAATCCAGCTTTGACCTGTAAAATAATTTTATTTTCTTTCAAATGTATATAAATGATTCTTAAAATTTTGTGAACTTTAAGCAATTCAAGACATTAATATGTTTGCAGCTTTAACTGTCAAATACAATATGGGCGAAAACTGCGAAAACAGTGCAAATGGTTATGCAAGCATAAAACTAGAAATTTCTATCAGTAAATGAATTATTATGAGACTATTCTGTATATAGAGGATATTGAATGAGTGTAGGTTTAATACTAAATTTATTGAACGAGTTGAATAAAATCATATTATGCGAGCCTCTGGCGAGCATAATATTGTTTTATTCAACGAGTTCAATAAATTTAGTATTGAATCTACACGAATATAATATTCTATTTATCACATATATAAAATAAGAACGGTAAACTGTTAACAAAAGTCATTTTTCTTTGACGAGCCTATAGTGTAACGCTAATATTAGCGCGCTTTAACGATATGTTTATAGTGCAAATGACGTGACGTCAAAGTGTTATTACACTAGTGTAATATTGTCTAGTGTAATATCGTTTTTATTAAATGGCTTTATTACACTCCTGCGCCGGGGTTTATGTGATACCGGAATTTATCACACACCCGTGCCGATTTTGCGACTCCGTAAATATGGTATTGCACGGCCGTGCATATATTTTGACGTGACGTCATTAGCGTTATACAAACATAGTGTAAAGACGCGCTAAATGTTAGCGTTATACTATAGGCGCGTCAATGTAAAATGACTCTTATTTCACTTTAAACGGTCTTTTTTTTGATATGTGATAAATAGAATATTAAATTCGTGTAAGTTCATTACTGAATTTATTGCACTCGTTGAATAAAATAATATTATGCTCGCCAGAGGCTCGCATAATATAATTTTATTCAACTCGTGCAATAAATTCAGTATTGAACTTACACTCATTCAATATCCTCTATTTTTTTTATTTAATAATCACTCATTTTGCTTGTGTTGTAAGTTTTTTAATACATGTATTCGATAAAATAAAATGTTTAAATAAAATATTCAGTCAAATCTACGAACAAATGTCAACGAATTGAGAGATCAAGCATGACTTATATGAAATAGGTCTATATTCGGATGATGACATTGTTCTATTTAATCAATTAGGGTTTGTAGAAGAGTTGCCTTTATTTACAGGGCGATCTTTATTTGGAAGTGGTCTTTCACACAGCTTTAATCGTATTGATTCGATAACTATAATTGTGAAAGGTTCATGATACATCATATAATACTGAAAGATTTTGATAAGCAAAGTACGATAAGATTAGACAAGACATGTATTCGAGCCAAATCTTTTATGAAACTAATATATTTCCAACTACCTTATTTATCTAATTTATCTGTAAATGTTATATCATTTCTATAAGGTATTCGCTCTGCTTTTACCATAGTTATTTAAGGTCGGAGGAGATAACCTTGACAATAAATAACAGATTGCTGTGCAATAATTTCATTTGTTAAAACATTTGAATTCTGAAATAATCAAGAAACACAAAATGTGACATTCTGGAGGCTATTATCGCTTTATATATCAACGGTTTAACCTTTTGCATTGACACAAGGTTAACAGTATAGTCATGGATTTATTAAGATAGCAACTTCGATAAAATCCAAGTAAAAATCATAACAAACAAAAATTCAAAATCCCTGCACAAAACACCATTTTTGAAACTCGGTTAGTTTTAAACATAATAAAAGCATCATGCTTATTTTGCCTTTTTAAAAAAAATGACTTGGGACGGAAAAATTATAGACAAAACGTAAATTTGCTCCTTGAGCAGGAGCTTCAGCATTGCCACAATAAAATGTTCCAAAAATACTTAAATCTATTATCAAATCTTGTGGTCGCGGAACTTTATTAGCATTGCCACAATAAACTGTTCCAAATATACGTAAATCTATTATCAAATCTTGTGGTCGCGGAACTTTATTAGCATAAGTGTATAAACGGTAACAGGCCCGGTGTGACATCGCATGCATTGACTGTCAAAAGCTAATTCCAACTACGTAACCGTTCACCTATCGCACCGATTTTAGAAGAATTCTTTTTTTTATATGTATACAATGTACATGGTGGTATAATCGAAAAAAATTGAAACATCTGCAGATGTGTCAAAAC